TGTTCTCGAGTGAGTTTGTGGAGTTTAACGCCTGCGTTCATCAACTCCTCCTCGTTCTGCCAACTTCCAGGCTGGTAATCCTTAATCGCATCCGCAAGGATTTCCTTGAAACCTCTCGACCAAAGTCGCAGCTCGTCGTAGTTCATCAAGGTAGATGGAGCACATCTTTCAGGACACTCGTAGTGGTTGCCCAGGAGTTGTAGAGAGGGATAGTTGGTAGCCATAGTCGTTGGTCTCCGCGATCGGTGGCCGTATCGTCCCATAAAGAAAGAAACCACGGGCATTGTCGCAATTGCCTGAAAGTTCTTCCACATCTCTGTGGTCCACAGCGAGGCTTTCATTCCTCGATCTTCTCGCAGACGTTCACAATCAGCCGGAAGCTCGATGAAGAATCCCACCTCCCTTGGAGATGAAACCTGAGCTAGCAGCCATAGAACCATCTGCTTGGCAACAGTCGCGGTCTCCAGGTCTGTACTCCTGGCCTGCGCTGCGGTGAGGTCCTTGATCCCATAGGGCTCTGTTGTGGTGCGGTAGGGGTAGGCTTCAGGTCCCCTTAGAGGAGTGGAAGTCACCGGCCACGTCTGACACGGTGGCGCGCTGATAATATCAGAGATCCTGCCCGTAGCAGCGGCCCACAGTAAGAGTTGATAGACCCCTTTCTCCCGGTGCAGGTCCCAGTACTTCGACTTCACCTTGTCCACATTCAAGACCACCTTGCCTTCCTTGGTGAGCGTGTCAAAAGGATCGTCCGCGAGAACCCAATTCCTTGATGCCAGCAAGGATCTTCTCTTCCTCCTGGTCAAAGGGAGGGCCTTCAAGTATTTCTCACCGTCCTGCAACTCGAAACCCTCCACCAGTGCAGATTGAGCTTCGTAGGGGAGGTCCTTAGTTATCGGCGAGGCCAAAATAACCTTGAGAAGGGTGGACTTCACCCCCGTCTTCGCAAACTCCTTCAAGAGCTCGGTCCACTCCCGTCTTTCCTCTTTCTTGATCATCTCCAAGCGGGCCTTCAGACCTTCCACACTCTCATTCAGGGCGCGTACATGGCTAAGTTCCAACTCCCTGATCAAGTCCAATGCATCTGAAGCAGCCACCTCTGGACAGTGGTTCTTGATCTTCACCTTGATGGGCTTCTTCTCCGGGTGAGTCAACCTTAAAGTTCGCGGGCTCCAATGCAGCGTGTAGCCAAGTTTCTCGATCACTGCCCCGAGGGGCACTATCGGCTGAACTGCCGTACTTTCCTCCTGAACCGGAATGGTTCCCTGGGAGTTCTGCATCAACACTTTGACGTCCTCGCCTGCCAAGGTGACACGGACCGGTTGGCCATCATTGTACTCAGTTGCTGGCGCAGGCCGCATGGGGTGGCTTGCACCGGAATCCAACAATCCAGTATCGCCCTCGATCTCTGAAATCTGGTCCATAACCCGTTTCATCATGTTCTCGTGCGCTTTCTTGCCCTTGGCTTCGTCCACCTTCATTGAACGAATCGACGTTGTTGACATAGCCTTAAGCATCTTGCCCACATCAGCAAGCACATCTTTCAAGTCATTGGCTTCTACGGAGGACGAAGTCGTCGAGGACGATCGGGCCGGAATAGATTCCACCTGGGGGGTGTCATCAATGCGAACGTTCTTGTTGGAAGTTCCATTCGAGGTAGTAGAGGTCGTTGGAGACTTAGGCCCTTGAGGTTTTCCTCCTGCGGTTGCTGCTGAGGCTTGGTCCCCATTGGCAGGTGGTTTCTTATGCGGGCATTCCTTCGCAGAGTGGTTCTTACCGCCACACGCCAGGCATCGACCAACCTTCTCGATGCCCTCCCATGAGTGCATGAATGGACAACGCGCCGCCCGTGCACACCCTTTGTACGTCTTCCCGAAGAACTTGCAAGGCACCTTAGACCGGTCCTCCTGGTTCTTGTCGCTCTGCTCTCCCTCTGATCTGGTAGTAGATGCCGAAGGAGACCTGGATCCATTCGCTGTTGCAGCATTCGGGGTGGTCGTGGGTGTAGAGTTGGGCCTTTCAGGTTTCATCGGCTTCATCTTCGGGTCAGGTTTGATGGGAGCTGTTGTAGTAGAGGAAGTCGAACCTGCAACCATCGACGCCGAAGATATAGCCAGCGTTTCACATTCTGCAAGAAGGTGGTGATAGAACTTCTCAACAGTCTCGTAGGAAGGCTTCGTGTCCACTTGGAGGTGACCCTTGACAAGAGATGTTCTGAAGCTCACCTCCGGCTCCCTTTCAAGTACGGCACAGGTGATCAAGGACAATCCGCGCATAAGCAAGCTGGGGTCGGGCGCGGCCACTTCTAACTCTTTGCATCTCCTCAACCAACGGGCCCAGGCACGAAGTGACCTGACTGCATCGACAGCATTCTGTTCGCTCTTTGGTTGTTGAAGACTCTGGAGCAGCGTTACTTTTTCTTGTTGGCCTCCTGGTTGATACAGCGTAAGAAGTCTGAACAGGAGCGATGAAACCGAGCCTGTTGAGCGACGCTGCACCATTTCCTGTTTCACAGCATCCGGTAAGGCCATCAGGACCATTGAAGCCGCCCGCGAGTTCACGCGGCTCCACTTTCCACTCTCCAGGGCCTCTTCCCGTGGAGGGAAGATGCTAAGCTTCTCCACCGGCGAGGCCGAAGTCCATCTCGAGTAGGCCTCGTTGGCCAGGGCTCTGACCCTGGTCCACCACTCTGCACTGCCGTCTGAGAGGTCCTGCATTGTAGTTGTAATGACCTCCAACCAATCCATGATGTCCACGGAACTGGTCTGCTGGTTCAGTTCCGGCAGACTCGGCAGCACATTGCTACCAGGCTTCACAGCCTCAGGACTTCGATCTTCATCCTTGTCTTTCGTCTTGTCCTTCATTTGGCTCAACATAGCTGCCTGAAGTTGGGCCATGCCACCAGCGAGAAGAGCTAGTGGACCTGTCAGGTCCAGCCGTTCCCCCAAGCCATTGAGACGGAGTACTCGTTGCCCCTTGTGCTTCCTTCTCTGGCTCGGTAGCTGTAGTTGCCCTGGTAGTAGATGACGTCCTTTTCTCACCACCACCTGCTGGGCCTGTCACCTGATCCCTCATATCGCTCGTGCCCCCACTGTCCTGTTTCTTCTGTCCCGACGGACCTTCCGATTGACCATCCGCACGTAGGTGAAGACTCCCTTGAGGTCCTCCTGGATTTCCTGGAAGCTGACCTGGAGCACTAGGTTGCGCATTATGACCATCCGCTGTAAGGTGAAGACTCCCTTGAGGTCCTCCTTGATTTCCTTGAAGCTGACCTGGAGCACTAGGTTGTACTGTATGACCATCCGCTGTAAGGTGAAGACTCCCTTGAGGTCCTCCTGGATTTCCTTGAAGCTGACCTGGAGCACTAGGTTGTACGATGGGACCATCCGCTGTAAGGTGAAGACTCCCTTGAGGTCCTCCTGGATTTCCTGGAAGCTGACCTGGAGCACTAGGGTGTACGATGGAAGCAGACTTGGGGCACTAGGTTGTACTGTAGGAACATGCCCTCCTTGTACAGCCCGAGCATTACCTCTTCCTTCCCACTCCCTTTTCTCACTCCGTAGTCTCTGCACCTCTTCCTGTAGCGAACGCAGGTCCTCTTGGTACTTTGCAGTGTACTCCTCTAACTGCCTCTGAACCTCAGCTTGCAACCTCGACGAACGATCTGAACCCACCTCCGAGCTCTGGCCATAAATCAGGGGATGATCGCGTTGTGCCTGGCGAAGTTGAGCCACCTGGGCGGTATCAAAGAGCGGTTGTGTCTGCGCTACCGTAGCCGCTGTCCACGAAGTCGGAGGTCTCTGCACTCCAGCATGTGGGCCAGGAATCTCCTCGGGGGGCGAGAAGTTCAATCGCTCCACCCGCGGCCTTCCAGTAAAGGCATTCCCTTGATACTGCGGCAAAGTCTGTTGACCATGTACATGAACCAATCCAAGTCCATCCATAACACGATCCCAACCACTCGCTCCTCTTGACGCTGCCGTTCTCATGAACTCCGTGAATCTCGACATCCATCTCACATTCCGTTCCTCACTCATCGAGGTGGTAGATTCCGCTGAATAAAACTCTTGCACTCTCACAGTGGTGGCACTCCCAGGCGGGGTCTGCGGTGTAGTTGGAAAAACTTGCCTTGAAGGAGTTACTGGCTGGATCGATGCACCCGAAGTTATAACGTTCGCGCTCCTTTCCGGTTCCCCATACGGGGGGTCCACAATTTCCGGACGAAGCTCCGTTGAAGTCGTATCCTCGGACGCAGATTGAGCTCCAGGCACTGGCACAGCATCGTGAAGATTGGGGTTTCCCAAAACTCCATCCATTACCACACCAGTTGAAGAAACATTATCCACCACTGCAGGCATAACACCATTTGGCCTCATATCCACAACATTCGTTGTTCCATAGTTCCTTGCAGACGTAGTCACAGGGATCTGTTCCGTGGATTGGGCGCTCATAACCTACAAATACTTTCACACGCACTGTTCAAAGCCAGCCGGGGCTTATGCAGTCGATGCGCCAGGCATGAAAGGCAAAGAACGGTAGAATCTTTTACGCACAAGAGCAAATGTCCTTGAGGCTTCTGCGAGTCTGAGCTGGTTGTTTTCAAGCTTCTGCTCTACAGCCAGAGTTGGCCTTTACATGTTGCTTCAACTCTAAGTTCGCCTTGGGCTTGTTGCTCTGTGAGCCAGTCCGCTATACATAAAACAAGGCTGTTCACATTGCACTGGCGGTCATGGAAATCTGCACGCGAATATGCGAGCTGTGTCTTCCGCGGCGAGAGGAGATTTGCTGTGCCGCACTTCGACTTCAGCTTGGGGGTGCTCGTGGGAGCCTACAAAGGGTTTGGGGTTAAGGCGCCTTCCTTGGTTTGTAACTTGATGTTCACGCCTTGCCGGAACCTTGAGCACTCCTTCCCCAAGCATGTGCAGATCGAAGTTGCAAAACCCCCGAAGGCCAGGAAACTTGAGGGTTTGGGGCTTAGGGTCGCTTGATGCAACCTGAGACTCTCTGCCGTCCAGACATGAAGGCACGGCTCTGCTTGCCTCCCATCCTCACAGCAAGTGGCTGAGACAGAACTGTTCATCACTTCTCTTGAAAACAACACCTTTCTTAATCTTCAAGATACCTTCAGAGTGTATAACAATGAGTATTACAAACCCATATACGAGACAAAGTATCCCACTTCCAAACCCTGTCCTGTAGGTAGGAGACGTCTCCAGTGATGGGTAAATATGCCGCCAACGCCTCGATGCCGCAGCAGAAGATAACATCCTGCGCACTGTTCAAGGACAGTGAACACTGCTGTAGTACACTGCCGTAGCACAGCACAAAGCACAGCAGGAGTTGTCGTCTGTGCAGCCGTGGTCGCCGTCGTCCTATACTAGACCTACACGTGTACTTATACTTGACTTGCAGTCTCGCTGAGGGCCAGCGACTGTCGACGCCGTCTTCGTCGTCGTCTGAATCGTCAGGATCGCAGTCGTCGTTGATTGTCGTCGTCGTAGCTGTGGCAGCAGCAGCAGCAGCAGCACCACCACCACCAGCAGCAGCAGCAGCAGCACCAGCACCAGCACCAGCAGCAGCAGCAGCAGCAGCAATGCACTCACCTGTCGATGCATGCCGAATTAAACTTCGAAGCTTCGAACAGCAATCTCCCCTTCATGAACCTCGTGCAAGCCCGCAGTCCTTGGTGGCAACGGTACATACTGTAAACGAGGAGCTCGCCAAGTTCCGCATGCTATCCACCGTCTGCACATTGTGCCCTTGGCTTTGATCAACTTGCAGCAAAGAGTCCACGGGCAGCATCCCGAATTTCATGCAGTCTTGGACAGAGACCTTCATTCTCACTGCTTGGAGCCACCGCTATCATAAGCTTCGCCAGGACTCAACTCAAGATAGCTTTCAGGAAGGGCAACCCTTCCATGTCCTTCTGGTGCTTTTCCTTCGCAGACAGCAGCACATTAGTTAATTGAGAGCGGCTCTATGACACCATGCGGTGGGTGCTGATGGTACTGACCCCGAACCCGACATAAACTCGAAAGACCGGCGGCCTGGGCTTGATCGCCTGTTTCGTTACCACAACATACTCAGACCAGGCCGGAAGGGTAGGTGGTCTTAGGATGAAGCTGGGTAAGGGCCGTCGATAATCAGGACCATGAGCAAATCCGTCATGTGATACCACTCTGCAGCACGAGCCCCGTATCAACCAGCCCGCCTAGCAAGACATGAAGAACCGTCCTATGTATACATCCATTCGTGCATGCATACATACATTACAAACATATAGTATACACATACACAAGTACATAACATCTACATACATCATATACCTATATACATGCAAGTAGACCCCGTGTTCGTAAACTCCGAAAATCGAGTGTAGCTGCGCTGCAAGAGAAACCCCAAGCCTAAGCCTGAAACTAAAGCTGACCGCCAAGATTCCAGCTGCAGCCTTGCCATCCGCAGGAAATGGAAGTTGAGGTTCCATGGAAGTAGGGGTTTTTTATGGGGTGATAAATACAGGCTTTAGGGCTTCGGGTGTAGGGAGTGGGGACCTCCCTTTCAAGGTTGCCTACCCAGAGAGCCCGATACCCCTTAAATAAGGAACTATTCCGTAAATCATAGTATTAAGGCCCCCTATAAATTTAAGGTATATTCCTTATTTAAGGGGTATTGGGCTCTCTGGGTATTACTGATGCTGGAGAGTCAGCTCTTCCGCACTGTTCAAAAGTGGCTCTTTTTGGGGGGCTCGGGTGTTCAGGCTCAGGATGCAAGCGGAATTGAGGTTTAGTTTATTCCAGTGGTCTGGGATCTATAACCCTAAACCCTCAACTCTAAGCACAAAGCCCGAAACCCTAAACCCTACCAAAGCACCTGGAGTTTCTGATATTTTGGGGTATTTACCTAAACCCCCAAAAGTAGGTAAAATAATGGCCCAAAACCCACAAAAGGCTATTATTCTAGATACTTTTGGGGGTCCAGGTAAGAGTCTGGAATGCTTGGCTGATACTGCTTATGCTGCCATGAAAGGAATGTGAGTAGCTGGGCTTGACATCGGGACAACCTTCACACAACATACAAAGCCGTGAAACAATCACTTGATTCAAAATCTTGGCATGAACATTCGCAGCGGGGAATATGGATACAACCTGCAACATGCTGCGAAGATGCTCATTCATCAGCGGGCGTGACAGCATGTCCAGCAAGGGCACCTGATCCCAAGCAGTCGTTCAGTCTGATAATGAAGAGGTTGTCAGCAGTTCGAAGTCCGAATACAGTATTTGTGCCACTACATCCGGGATCCTACGATTCATGACCTCTGGTGAAGGCTGCATCTGACGTACCGCGTGTCTTCTCACACTTCTCTTGGGCGTCTCAGCAAATCCTATGCTTGAACGCGACAATTCATGGTTCCTGCGGTTCCAGAACGCTCGACCCTGCTGCGCATCAGCTGCCAAGTCGCATGCATGTCCTGTGAGGATGCCTGGGGCGATGCAACACTGGGGCATCACAACACATGGGACACGCGGTCACCCAGTCGCCAGCAGCTGCAGAGAAGGCTGTGACTCAGTGACGGTGCGGAACAGCCAGGCCTTGTGCTGGGCCATGTAGGCATGCTGCAAGAACTTCGTAATTCGCTGGCTCAGGTTCACGGAAACCTTGTTGTGCCTTGGATGTTGTGGGAAAACGCAGCGAGCTACGATGATGTGTAGGTCCAGGTCTGTTTACTCGGAATGCTGTCCCGAAAAACTGTTTTCTACACGACATCATCCTCCGTCCGCCCTCTTCAAGTTGCTGGCAGCCGAGCAACAGCAGGTAGCGTTGCAACAGACTGAAATGGCGCGCTTCCTCTTCCTGTGGACGTCGGAAGATGCTGCTCGACCCATCTAGCAAGGACACATCGAAAACCACGTAGCCCCCACAGACTCTTGCCACCACGAGCAACCTCCAAGACAAATTGCAAACCGAAGCAGAAACTGCACCGAAGACGGGAGTGGCAACGACCCGCAATGCAAGGAATGCTGTACTGCAACAGACCCAGTCAAACCATGAGAACACCAAACCCATGTTCAGTAACGATCGTGTCGGTAACCAATAGCGCATTAGGCTCATTGGCTCACCCTGCGCGGCAGGCCTTGCTTCTGGAATAAGCTGTCATCATGGACGTCATTGACGACACCATGGTGGAGAAAGTGATCAGCGAGATGAGGGCAACGAAAATACCTGCTCTGCTGCACAGCTATGCATGTCTAAGGCCTCCAAAGCCCTGCTCTACTTGTTGCAATCCTCTGAACGGGCTCGCTCTGCCCTTCGCAATGGAATTCAGCTGTTGCCATGCTGCATTGCCCTTTTGGTGGCTTAACAATGAAGAAAGCCCAAAGCCAATCCAAGAACAACATGAGGCAGTCTAAGTCAGTCTGAGTCACATCGATCGTATCGTGCATTGTGGCACTGTTCACTCGCTTCTCTCTGCATGTACGCATTACCATCCGTTATCCCGGAACTGCTTGACAGCAATAGACCTACAAAATCAAGTCCTTCATGGCTCCATCGCACATCCGGTCATGTACGTAGCTCTTCTTACCTAAGAACCTAGCGAGAACATTCGATCCCTTTGCGAGGCAGATCAAGAGGCAGTCCGGCTCACTGGGGCATCTTGAGGATGCCCTCCCTTCATAAGGGGGTTTCCGAACATAGGGAACCCTGATATGGTACCCTAAATAGTAGGATCCTTATTATAAGGACCGCAAAGTAGGGTACCCCTCATTTTCGGAAACTCCCATAAAGGACGAGGCACTGAAGGTGCGTTCGGGCAAGTTCGTGGCCTCACGGGCCGGTGGTAAGGCCAAGACTTCGAGTCCAGGCGGGTAGGCAAGCTTGGGCTTAAGGTTCCGGGTTGAGGGGTATATGTATATGACACACACTTCACAGCATACATTTCTTTGTGCAGCTGCTGCAAACATGCACCTGTACATATGTCATAAGTACAAGCAGATACATAATTTCATGGATGGACGAAGAGACTGTAATAAACCCGCCTCGACCTCAGTGGCGCCCACCCCGAGCTGTGCGATAGCCTGTGCACCAGCAGCAGGGTTTGGGGAAAATTATACTATAATTATAATAAGGAACCCCCCAATACCCTATTCTAATTATTAAGGCCCCTACATTACCCCAAACCCAGGTCTTAAACCCCCAAAGCCCCAAACCCCACAGCATCTACTCCCTGTGTAAGCCTGAAGCTGCCCTCAAGCTCTCAAGTCTCGCCCTTTCGCAGCTTTCAAGTTTAGGTCTTGCCTGTAACCGAAAAGACCTACCTTTTTAGGGTTCCTTATTATGGTTTCTATAAAGAGTTCCCTAAAAAGGTAGGTCTTTTCGGTTACAGGTGGGGTTTAGCGTGTCCCGACGAGGGGGTGCGCTGGCTGGTGCTAAAAGCACCAAGGCATGTGCCGGAGAAGGGTTACTATGAGGTTGGAAGAAGTAGGGTTCAAGGGTGTACACTATATTTATACGGTTAAGGACCAGCAAGAATATTACTCCGATGTCTCTGAGGCAAGGGGTGAATTTTTGCAAGGGGTCGGGCTTAAGGTTCAGGGATGACCTCAAGGGAGTATATATTAGAAAGATATGTGGTGTAAATTTCAAGGAGACTCAAAGGGGGACTGGGTGACTGTACCATGAACTCCACAAAACTGGAGCGGGGGATAAGGATGATTCCTGCTGGCACTCGCAGGTTTCTACCTTACAGGCATGAGAAGATTGATGCTCCAACTTCCCGACCTCTACTTTCATGCGGGGAGTAGCAGTAACACATAGCAATAATAACGCTCAAAAGAACAATAGATAACAATGATGAGGGTTCGGGTGGGGGACCTCATCGACTCAGAAGCTGTTTCTGCCAAGGCACCCAATGTAGGCTCGTCAAATAGCCTCAGCGCGGTGGTAGACTCCAGGACACCGTTCCAAACCTCTAAACCTACAACTCCGATGGCCCGAAGCCAAGACAAAACCACTGACTCGCAGGGTACTCGAGCAAGACTCTACACAGAAACGGGTGACCGAGGGCTGAGATCTGGATCAGTCTCTGCCTAAACAGCTCTCTAAACCAAGATGTCTCCGCTCTGAATCTTCAGAGTATGTCGCCTTTGACACAAGGAAACGACAACACACAACCCTGCACCCTGAAAGGGACCCCAATGCTGAGAACAACACACATGGTCCTGCAGACAAAGGCTTTTGACACTAGAGGGAGGCACTCATAACAGCACTTGCCAAAAACCCCTTTGTTTCATCCATGGGCTTCCATGGTAGCTTTCAGAAGATGCAAGATATACAGTCCAAAGCCCGAGCAGCCATACAGCCTGTCTTCTTCCTCCACCCCGTACCTGAGGTCTGCGCAGGCTGTTGTGAGGAACGAGCTGCACTGCACATCCCAACTTCGCACAAACATAATTCTTGGAGTCGTGCTCGACCGATGCTAGCCCGCTTCCCTCTACACGATTCCTGCAACTGGCTGGTGCCCCGATCGGAATTCCGACACTCCAGGCTCGGTTCAGGGTTTAGGGTTTCGGGTTTAGGGTAGCATCCCAGGTGCTTGGTGGACCACCCGTCTGCCCTGCCGCCAATGTGGGAAAAGCCCCACCACGCACAGGCAATCCTGAGAAGGCCAGGGCTATGGCGCGCTCTTCACCAAGAGAAAGCCTTAAACATTAACTTAATGCTTGACATGGGGCTGTCTATCATAAGTCGCTCGGGGTTGCGGCAAGATTGCCACTGGCAGAAACAGTGTGACGGAAGTCCGACCAAGCCGCATATGATTCAAAAGCAACAGCCGGATAATGTTCATCGCCACACTGAACCTCAGCAGTCTTGCCGGAGAACGAAAACGGCAAACATGCACGGGCGGCTTCGCAATCCAAATGCATGGCTAAAACTCTGAGATCGGTTGACATGACATGCAACTTGCATATTATATTATATTATATCATATTATATTATATTATAGTATATTATATATTAAATATCATATATTATATATTATATATTACATATTACATATTATAGTGATGATTGTGATGGCGCTGATGGCAGGGATGACGGCGCTGCTGATTCGGCTGACTGGTGGAGGAGGTGACGAAGCTCCTGAGGATGGCGACGGGTGACGATGATGCCGCTGACGACAGCCCGAAACTGAAACCGTAAACCTAAACCCTAAACCCTTAACCCTAAAACCTTGCCAGGTCCAAGGGACTGGACGTTCACGGCCCAGCCTTGCATGACTTCCTTCGGGCGTCACAACGCGCCTTACCTTACCATGCCCGCAAACTTGTGTCTCTGATTCTCCTCGATCTCCATAATTTTGTTTCCAGTACTATGACCAGGATATTGCAACCCTTTCACCACCTGAACCTGACTATATGTGCATTTCCAAACGGTGCGCATGGGCATTTTTCAAAAGCAGCCGTGAAGGCATAGCATGCGAGCTAAGGCAATCGTCGCTTCGAGAAGTTTTGTGCTTTCTTTAGGGTTTAGGGTTTAGGTTTTTTTTTTGAAGTGTAATGGGCGCCCCTTTTCCGAAGCTCCGGTTTAGGGGTTTAGGGGTTTAGGGTTTAGGATCGGAACCATTAGGGATTAACCGGCGCTGTGTCACCCTCTTGGGTTGTAGCGGCTGTAGGGACATCACTAGATATCTGCGACCTTCAATCGCCTCTCACTCATGGGTTGCTGTGGGCTTCGACGTTCCTTCTGCAGATGGGCAGGTTATGAAGGTCTCAGGACTGAGATGGATTAAGGCTCTAAGAGGGTCGATGCGGGTCAGGGCAGCTGGACAGACGTTCCGAACCCCACACACCTAACCCTTCAGTGGGAAACACGCCTAAGCCCTACTCTGTTCTGTTCTGTTCTGCACTGACTCGAACTGCGCGAGATGTTGACATGAAGGCGGCCTCTATTTGGATTGTCGTAACTGATTGACGCTGTGTTGTGGTTGACTTTGGTTTGGGGGGGAGGGGGGGTTCGGGTGTCGGCGGTATTGGGTTGCGGGATACTACGGGGTTTAGGTTGCTATACGGGCATTATATGGTGGTAAAAATGCTGCTGCCGCGACGGCTTCGCTCTGCCACTGTGCTCTTATTGACAGTGCTGTTCTTTCATACCCAGAGAGCCCAATACCCCTTAAATAAGGAATATACCTTAAATCATAATATTAAGGCCTCTACAAGTTAAGGTATATTCCTTAATCAAGGGGTATTGGGCTCTCTGGGTATGCGTCTGCTTGTGAGCTGCACTTCATTCTCGTGCCGCCTCGCGGACCCCAGGTGACTAATTGGAAGTTTCGGGACACTCTCAGAACCCCAAATTTCTAGTCTAGGATCCATATTATCTTCAGGGCCCGGAAGAAAGGTACCCCAACTGATTCAACTGATTCGAAGCCCCCTACAAATCAATTCAAAATCCGAAACACGCCTACAAAAAGAAAGTCCTGACAGCCCAGACCAGCCAAACATGTCCTGCAGCACCAAAGCTGTCCGGCTCATTTTGCCCAGGCGGACGACACGCACCAAGCGCAGTAGGCGGAGAATCCAAAGGACATTGGTACCCTGTCCAGCGTTTTGGGTATGTTGTTTTTTGTAAGATTCAAGATCCCTTTTAGTTTGCCCGTTCCGTCTAGACTCCCGGGGGCGATTTCGACCAGGAGTAGCTGGGGCTTAAGGGTTTAAGGATGCACAGGAGTGATGGACAGATCCTTTGTCGATGGAGCATAGCTCATCGAACCTGAATCACCCCAATGGTGCAGCCTCGTGCTGTCCCCGACTGCCTTCAAAGGCCAGGGCCTCAGATGGGATGGGCCGACATCGCTGGATGAGAGTGTCAAAAAGCCTATTTGTCCATCCATCCATGCATCTATCCACCTATGTATCCACCCAATAGGAAGGCTCCTGCGAAAGAGGCCAGGAGTGGCAGAAAAGAGCATGAGCTGTAGGAAATACGGAACAGCAGCTGTCGGAGGAGCTGCAGTTGCAGCTGGTCTAATCTAGTGATACGTCCCTACAGATGTTGAAGAGATACCTTGTCGTTACAGGCAATGAAACTTGGCCTAAACCCTAAACCCTAAACCTTAATCCCTTAAACCCTAACTCCTAAACCCTAAACCCTAAACTCCTAAACCCTAAACCCTAAACCCGGGGATGTTGAGGAGCCGTTCACTGCAAAGCTTGCTCGCCTGTGCACCTGTCACAGAAGGACTGTCCCATCACAGAAACAGAACACCACGGGCCAAACAAGACAGACCCTGAACGACTTTCGATTTGATATAAAAGCGTCAAACATTGGAGTATAGGATTTGGGTGGTACAAGTGCATGATAGCCACAATACAATACTGCTATACTGATTTAATGACTATGCACGGATACTACTGCTAGTTACTAGGTATTCGTTCAGGCCCGTATGTTCGGCACATGGGCATCAGCCGGCGTAGTATTTTGGCCTTGCAACCCATAGCCCGCTTCGTCGCCCGCAGTCGATCCCAACCAGGTCCCAGTACCAACACAAGCTTGTCAGAAGTTAGGGAAGTACGGCTTGCTGCTTGCCTTAGCTCGCTTGCGCGAATCTGCAGGCAAGCTGCAATCCAATCTATGGAGACAAGCATGACATCCACCGGCAGCCAGGTACGCGCATATTTCCGCGCCACAGCCGCTGCATCCATAACCAGCACTCCCTTGTTGTAGACCCCCGTGCGGAAAGACATCCTCGAAGGCATGCAGGGACCGCGCAGTAAGGTGTCACACAGACACACACTGCGGCTTCTATCGACAACGATAGCTTCACAGTCTCCACTGGCGTTGCTAATTATATAACTCGGTAGCTCGGCGGAGCAAGAAAAGAAAATGCAAAGCAAAGAATTCGACTCCGAGCCCGGCCACAGGATGTCGACGCTCCAGAACGCCATCGTCGACCAGGACAGCGCGTTCAGAAATTCTGACTCAGGGAGGTCGAAGAACTGCAGTGGAATAAACACAACATCCTTGGCAGGATATGGGATAAGGCTTCTTTTTCAATCTCTAGAATCACCATGAGGACAACAAAAGAGGAGACTTACATGAATATACACTCGCCAAACCTTATTTTCATTTCGTTGGATGAGCCATGCTGCCATCTCCGCAAAAGGGGAAAATATGCAAAATGCAGAAGGATTTGTGGGTACAGGTTCAGGGTTTAGGCGACTAGGCGGCAGCTAGGCCGCTACTGTAGGCCATGACATTTCGGATTGTGACCCGACGATTCAGAGCGACCCCCACCCACTCACCCACCCACGCACGCAGACCTACAGACAGACAGCCAGCCAGCACACCTCCACGAAAGCCATCCACCAGAAGAGTACAAGCATGGGCAGAAAGGCATCAGTCTATACACATGAAACATTGAAGTTGGCTTTCCGGATTCCACCTTCAACGGATATGTTAACATTGCATCCACATTCCTTTTGCCATTGATAGCCCCATGCAGCATTCAATTACACGGGATTACACGGCCCTTCCTCTCTGACGCGGTTCGACCAGCTTGAATCACAAATCGTGAGACGTGCTGAAGATCACCAGAGCGGCGTGCAGCAGCCACATCACTGTGAGAATTTCCCAAGCAGTTCGCCAAAAGCCTGGCAGTAGGCCAGCGGAGTAATGGCAGGAGACCCTACCAAGTCTGAGTCTAGATGCATACGTAACGACGTCATCAATATGCCGATGATCTTCAAACTGCCCTCCTGTACCAAGGCATGCATTGAAATTCTGATTCATTGGCCCATCCTGAGCCGAACAGGCCTCCAGGATGTAAGACTCGAGGCTTTTCCTCCTCGACTTTCTCGCTGACAAATTGCGCCGAAATAGAAGACTCCTCCAAACCTTCGCTGCCACAGCGCAGGGGGCCATGACGCATGATGCTTGCAAACCCTGCCCATTCAGCCAATCAGGAAGCTTGTGACCATTTGTCCAGACTAGGCAATGGTAAAATCGCAGTAAGCAAAGCCGGTGCAAACTTGTCGGAGTGCAGCTTCAGCGGATGGTGATGATGAAGGTACATAAGATGGAGGTGTTGGTGATCATGATACTGACGATGATCTCGTAACACAGCTCTGACAATGTGAAAGTCTGAAAGACGGTGACACTACAATCATGGTGGCACTTGTGATGACAATGCTGGGATAGCGATGTTGATGCTGGTACTTGTGCCATGGCGTTGATCTATATAATATAGCGATGCTTATGATGACGATGGCCCTGGCCATGGCCCCTGCAGTTAGCATGATAGCAATACCTGTTCAACCGCCCAGGTTGCCATTGCATGGTGAGCGCAGCCAAGTTGCTGGCTACACTGGACTTTTTTGCGGTGAGAGCCTTCGGGACGCTCTTCAAGCCAATTCTCGTCCAAGTGGGCCGTGGAATGAGGTCCTACAGGGATTTTGGATAGAGGAAGGAGGCCGAGCTAGTAGCAAGACGCGAAGGACTTCGTCTGGCAGAAACTCCACGACATTACTAACACCATCGCCGCCCGAAGACGATACTCACACTACGCCAACGAGGACGACGACTATTTCGACTACTGCTCTCTCTAGTGCCACTGCCACTACTTCTGCTACTAGTGGTACTACTGCTGGTGCCACTACTGGACCCCTGTACTACTGCTACTGCTACTGCTAGCTAGTGCTAGTGCTTGTGCCAGTGCAAGTGCAGGTGCAGGTGCTAGGGTGCTAGTGCTACTGCTGTTGCTGCTACCGCTGCTGCCACTGCTGCTGCCACAGCCAGGGCTCACCCAAGGCCCCAGAAAGGCACGACACTGCATCTTGCAGGGCTTTAGGCACGGAACTTTTGGCAGATTTCGATTCCTATGTCGTGCCGCCTAGTCCCTTGTCATCCCAAGTCTCTGCCGAATTCATACTTTAGAACCGGAACTTCAGGTTCTTGTCTTTTGCTCTTCAGGGTCAACTGACTCGCATCCGACGCCTGGTCAATGCTCATCTCTCCAGAGCGTGCGGCCTCCCGGGACATAGGTCGGCAGTGCAGAGCTACGGCTCAGGAGTTTAAGGGCGCAGGGTGTAAGGGTTATCCAGTTATACATGTATGAATGCATGTATGTCTTTTACTACATGTAAACCTGTGTGTGTGTGTGTACTTGCCCCATTGTACCGGGATTGCAACGAGGTTCTGGAGGAAGTTGGAAGTCTGTCGGTGTTTATGCGAATGTGCAAGAAGGTTCTTGCTCGGAGTCGGAGGCAATGCAGACAGCTAAACCCTAAACCCTAAACCCCTAAACCCCTAAGCCCCTAAACCCTAAACCCTAAACACTAAACCCTAACCCTAAACCCTAAACCCCAAACCCCTAAACCCCTAAACCCTAGCTTAAGTACACTTCAGAAGCTCACCCACCTCTCCGCGAGTCAGGAACATAGTCTTTCCAGCGCTGGCAGAAGTGTCAGACTTCTCCCGCCGCGTCCTTAGAGGTGCTCGTGGACAACCCAGAGACTCCAAAACCCCTTAACTAAGCAAGGAATATACCTTAACAATTATAATCGGAACCTTAATAAGATTTAAGGCATATTCCTTANNAAGGGGTTTTGGAGTCTCTGGGACCATGAATTTCTCACGGGGGTTCGGAGCTCCTCTTCGCGTTCCGTCGGTTCTTTGGACAGAATTGCGCAAGATTTAGCCGCCGCAGCCAGTGAAACTATTTTGGGGGTTCCTTATTA